TTTAACAGGCGGTGGAGATGCCTTTTGAGTGTTGCAAAAGTTCTGAATCAATTGTGGAGTATTTGGGGCTAAGGGAAAAAAAATAGACCAACAGTTTTTGCTAATATCTTGAAGTGCATTGCAACATGAAGACGAAGGTGCGAGACCCCCGATTGGGAAAGTGAAAAGCGATAGCAAACATCCCTGAATGCTATTTAGTGATGCAAAACACTGATTAATCTGAGAAAATTCTGGAATTCCTGGAAGTCCTGGAATCCTTGGAACTTCTGGAAGTCCGGGAATTCCTGGAAGTCCTGGAATTCCGGGTAATCCTGGTATCAATTGGGAGTAACTGGGTAGCATTAACGTTGTAATCCATGTAACTATAAGTAATACTAGAATGTGTTGTTGAGTCTTATTTGACATGCTTGATTGGAGTTGAGTTTCTAAGAAAAAGAATTGGTTGATAAAGAGAAGGCTAATGGGATGAATGGTTGAAACAAAGAGAGTAGGTATTTATATAATAGGTGATTTTAGGTTTTTAATTACCATTTTTATTAATAAAAACCCTCAAACCATAAAACTTGGTTTCTACAATATTTAATTAAATCATTTATTAAGTGGTTACTAATTAAGTCATTAATTTTTGAATTAAATTTTAACATAAATAGGTATTATATATATTTAAATATTATAAAATTTATTAAAAATGACTTCAAATATTGTGAATAAATTACTCATGGTGTTTAAAATTAGAAAGTATGATAAATTTGAATTTCAAAATCTGTTTTTAATAATATATTTTTTGAACTTAAGTTATATTAATTATATAAAAAAATAATCTTAAAATTGTGAAAAAAATTGGCACTATGTTTAGAACTTTATAAACCTTAAAATTGAATTAGAAGATTCTTTTAAATTAATTTTTTGTTTTTTTTTTAAATTAAGTAAATTCGTAAAAACATCGTGATAATTTTTTAAAAAAATAAATATTAATTTATTATAAATCAATTATAATATTAAAAAGAGTATAACCGATAAGACTGTAAATTATATCTCACGATAATACAAGTTTAAAAGATATATTAATTTATTATTCAAGTATTCATTTAAAGAATTTTTTTCTTTAAATTAACATAATATTTTGTAATTACATAACAAAATTAAAATAACTAAAACTTTAACATTTAGAAAAATGACATAAGAAAAATATAAAAAATATCCCAAATTGATGATGATGATATACATATATATATATATATAGAGAGAGAGAGAGATTGGCATGTATATTTAACATGTGAGAACAAAAAACTAAATAATGAAGTCAAAGAAAAAGAAAAGGGTGTATTAATCTTTATTTTGCAGAGAATTGAAAGGAAAAATGAACTTAAACCCTAACACCCAATTAAGCATTTAAATTCCCTAAACCTAAATTAGATAACCCTAACACCTAATCTCTCTCTAATTATGGTTAAATTACGTGCAAAATGAGTATTATGCCCACTAATATATATATATATATATATATAATTCAGTCAATTAAATAACTTTTAGATATTATAACATTAAAGTTCAAGAAATATGAAAATAAAATCGAAGAATATATCTTATTATGGCAAACTTTTTTGTAATTTATCATAATTTAGATCATGTTATCATTTGTATAAAATTGTTAGGATTTCCAACGTATAAACAAATATTATTACATATGACATTTTTTTTTTGTTTTTAATTCAAAAATAATATATTAAATAAAATTAAAATTTTACTAACGCATTAATTTTTTCTCTCTTGTGATTTTTAATTAAAAACAAAATTATATGCATTAAGATATAATAAAACTAGTCTTTTTTTTAACATCTTATCTTTATGATTTTTAAAAACCAATAATATATAAAACAATTTGCACACACATTGTGTCATGACTCGAGGACATGGTTCTGACTTCAGAAAGTATGTATTCGGGTTTAAGAGAAAGAGAGGGAGAGTAAGACTGAAGAATAGAAGGATTTGTTAAAGATAGAATAAGAAGATGAATAAAAATATATAGAAAATCATATATGAAAGATAGATATTGAGAGAGATAGATAGAAATTTAAGGGAGCTAATTATAATACATTCAAAATATTTCATTCGTTGATTGATTATATATATGAAGATTGGTGATTTATATTAGAAAGAAAAAATGCATGAACATGTAAATAGATAATCAATCTTCCATGAAAGCCTAAAGGGTTGTAAAGAAATTTTCTAAATTCATCGAATGAATATGAAAGAGGAAGTGACTGGTTAACTAAGAATTTGAGATGATTAAATACTCATTGGATTTGAATTTTCTACAGACATTTCCATAATACTTTCTAGTTTATTCTTCTCTATTTGCATTCGTGTCCTTACACATTATTGAGTTTCTTCCTAAAGAGTTGTAAAGAAATTTTCTAAATGTATCGAATGAATATGAAAGAGGAAGTGACTGGTTAACTAAGAATTTGAGATGATTAAATACTCATTGGATTTGAATTCTCTACAGACATTTCCATAGTTCTCTTTGTCCACCCTTGTAGATCTTGTACTTTCTAGTTTATTCTTCTCTATTTGCACTCGCGTCCCTACACATTGTGGAGTTTCTTTCTAAACATATTTCTTAATAAGCATTACAATGATAGATTGAATAGGTACTTCTTGGCTTCTTTAGCATATAACATCGTACAGTTTTATTAAAATACTGAATGTGTCTTTTTGTAAAATATTTTAAGATGTATAAGAAAACTACTAATTGCATTTATATAGAAATAATAGCTTTGACGTATTCTCTTTGTTAATTTTAAGCAGTCGAACAAATATCTAACTCCTTGAAAAAAAAAATTATCTCTTTGAACATAATTATTAGTATTTTTCATATTAGTATAAATATTATTATTATTATTCTGTAAAGTCATATTATAATTATAGATATCAAGAATAATGTGAAATTTAATTGCAGAGATTTGGTAGTATTAGAACAAGAATTGAAGCAAGTGTGATCTTAAATCCATCATGAGCAAATTCAGTTGATGGTTGATAATAGATTTTAACTATATATAAAGTTTGAGAAGCAAAAAAGAAAAAAGACAGTAAGAAAATGAACTCATTCAAGATATGGTGGAGATGCCTTTTTTGAGTGTTGCAGAAGTTATGAATCAGCTGTGGAGTATTTGGGGCTTAAAAATATATATATCTAATATATCTATATATATATATATATATATATATATATAGGTTGTAGCATGATGAGGAATGGGTGAGACCCCCAATTGGGAAAGTAAAAAAACAATAGTAGTCATATCTATATGCGATTATGCAAAACACTAGTTAATCTAAAAAAATTTAGGTAATTATTGAGTTTCTATGACTAGAAATCTAGTCGATCTTGGAGTTCTTGAAAATCTAGGCAATCTTAGAGTTTCGAATTAAAAATCTAAGCAATTCTAGAGTTTCGAACTAGAAATCTAGACAATCCTGGTATCAATCGAGAGTCACTAGGTTGCACCGAAGATGATATGGCTATAAGCAATTACCATTTTTAATTGATAAAACCCTCCAAACAATAAAACTCCTTTACATCCGTATTTTAGTTAAATCATTAATTACGTGGTTACTAATTAAGTCATTAAGACGCGATTGTCTTTGAACAAAAAAAAAATTCTATAAGTCAGAACGAAATAAAAAAATTCAGACATCTCCTTTTTTTGTTTAAAAGTTATATATATATATTATATATGTGCAATATGGGCCCCCAAAAAATTAAGTGGGCCGGTTTATCACCGGGTCGAGAGTGACCCGACAAGAAGATCCCCAAAATGAATTATTGTTTTAATCATTAAAAAGGAAATGTTAAAAGAGAAAAGGTTAACGCGTGGGGAAGACGAAAGACGGACGCAACCTTGTCAATACCGGTCATTAGGGGGGGGTGGGTCAAATCCAAATGGTATACACGCGCTTTCTTGAAACGACGTAGTTCGTCATTGACCCAATGGTCACAGCAGAGGCTGCTCATCCGTTGGTCTGTCATCTGAACTTTTCACCACCAGGGGACTCTAATTGCTCATAATGCACATTGACCTAACATTAACATAACCTACCACGTTTTTTATTTTACTGTCATTTTTTTTTTTTAGTTTTTAACGGGTGTTTTTGTTATTAAATTAATTAATAAAAGAAAGGAAAATTATTAATAATATACTTTAGTTTTTAAAAAATTATTATTATCCATGTTCTTTCCTTTGCGTACGACAACAAACAACATACACCACTCTTTATATATATATATGTATATGTATATGTATACGAATTGAGAAACACTTTTTTTAAAATTAAAAAAAAAAAGCTGCTACTACTTTTCAGAGATAGACAAAAAATGGTGGATAATAATTTCGTAATTATTAAAAAGTTAATCCTAATTAATAATTTTAATACTGACATAATGATACACCCAAATTAGAATTAAAAAATAAAAATTAATTAGAGAAACAAAAACTAAAAACGTAGAAATTAAAGAGGAGTATAATTATAATAATAATAATAATAATAATTTAACAGAACCTAAACTTCAAAAAAAAAAAATTAAAAAGTAAATGATAAATTGATAATGACAATAATAAAAAGAGAAAAAGAGAAGGGTAGTTCTTGGGATTTGGTTTGGGTTTGTTGTTTATTGTTGGTGGGGTGGAGGGAGGGAGGGAGGTTGGCGTGAACCAAAGTCTACGTAAATACGGCGTCGTATCTACCGCGCACTTTAACTAAAAGACCACCTTATTTTAGTAGACTCTGGAGAATTTCTTTCCCGCAAGGACCAAAAGCGAGGGGGTGGGGTCAGTAAAGTCAACGCCGTCATCACGGCTTCGAAACAGAAGCAGCGTCCTTAACGGAGGAGGGTTCAGTCCCGCCGTTACCCACGGTAGCTGACTGAACGGTCAAGACGGACATGCTTGGAGAGGAGGGTCCCTCGCCGTTGGATTGGAGAAGTGGGTTGTTATTATTAGTGGGGACGGCGGCGTTGTTGATCATAGGGCCCCTGGAGTGACACGTGGCGGTGGAGATTGCGGTAGCGAGGGAAATGGGCATAAGGCATAGGCCTTTCCCTTGGAGATACTGCATGGCGGACCCCATGTCCTCCTCCATCAGCTTCGCCACCTGATGCTCGGTGACGGTGAGGCTGTCGTTAGACGACGCCGTATTGTTCCTCGCGTGGGTCCCGCCGTTGCCGTTGCCGTTGCCGTTGCCGTTGCCCTGGATACAGTCACCACCTCCCTTAAAAAGACAAGGCCAGAAAGAAGAAACTTAATAAGATATGATTGTTTTTTTTCTTTTTTCTTTGTGCAGAGAGAGAAAGCGAAGGGGAAGAAGAGAGGAATCTGGGAAAGTGGGCACGCGTGCTACTTTTGTTTTTGTCGTTCTTCAATTTTCATTGATTAAACACTGAGCAGATGGGCGCTGTCTTCCTTTTATTTTATTAATTTATAAGGACTGAATTTCGTTTTTCATGCGTAATTTTTTCTTTCAATTATTTATTACCTTTTTTTTTATAATACAAATATTAATTAAATAATAACTCCATATACCACTAATTAAAAAATAAAAATTTATTCTAAAATTTAGAGAGTGGGAATACTATACCTCCGACGACAGATCGGCGACGAGAGGAGCAACCGCAGCTGCACCGCCTAATCTGCTCATGCTCAGAACCTGTTTAATCACGCATCCAAACAAGAAGCCCCCCCCCACAAAAGAACAAGCAAAAGGGAATTTTAGTTGCAGACGCCCATAAACACAGATTAAACAATTATTTTCTACTGTAAACAATGTCAACCCAGATCAAAAGGAGAATCTTCTCCTCTTAATTACAATTAATTAAAAATTAGATAAATAGATATAGAACCTTGACTTGGAGCTGGAGGAATTTCACGTAGTCGATGATCTCATCTAGCATTGAGGCTTTGTCTGTCTGTCATTCCGGAAAAAAAAACCAATAATTATCTAAAAAATAATAACCAGGGATTGGAATTTAATATTTGATTAATTAAATTAGGATTAATTATTATTATTACTATTAATTTTTAATTATGGAGGTCTAATAGGATTTAATTAAAGATAAGATTAACGGAAAAAAGTAGTGAGTGCTCAAAAAAAAAAATATCCCGATCCACTCGCTCGTCCACCGGGCGCCTCCTGCAGTACGGCGCGAGACCAATTTGTCTTCTTTGTTCCCGAAGTACGCACGGAAAGATAACACTCACGTGACAGTGACATTGCTTAACGAACCATCCAATCATATCTCGACACCCGTCCCCGAACAACCGCTATTGACAGTTATACCCCTAACAAATTCTTATAATTACACTCTTCCCCACCAACGTCTCTTTGCCGGCGGTTACCGCTTCTTTGCCGAGCGGGACGGTCGGGTTCTTGGGAAAATAAAGTTGAAGAAAATTAATGGGATTTGGATTTATAATTAATTACTAATCTAAGCCTTAATTTAATTAATTTTGTTGTTATTCAGTTCGGATTTGTATGGGAAGAAAAAAAAAACCAGAAGCAAACAAATTGTGAAATTATGTTCGTGTCCTTACCTTGTTGGCATTCGGAACAAGTTCCTGCAGAGCCTTCATTCTCTCTGCAATTCTTTCTCGCCGTAACTGCTCCACGTACAATACAAACCCAGAAATTTCGGTTCAGTGGAAAATTTTCTTCCGTTTTACCTCCATTTCTCGGAAGCCAAAGAGTGATGCAGGGGAAAAAAAAAACAAAAACAAATGGGATTTCTGATTTCCTACGTGAGAGGGGAAAAAGACAGCATACCCTTTCAGCGATGCTGTGAGGATCAGTGGCTTGGCCTCTCCTGGCACGGACTCTCTGTCTCGGCTGCGCCGATGCACCGCCGGTTGAGCCACTTGCTTGGGGCTGAATTTGAGGCTGAGTTTGGTTCATCACGGCGCTGGGAGCTCCGAAATTTTGAGCCTGCTGCATCGGTCCTCCCTGTTTGAAATTAAAAATGAATGCCAAAAAATCAGAGAAGAACATGATAAACTTAAAAAGAACGAGATAAAAAAAAAAAAAAAGAAATGGAGAATAAGATGCCTGAGGATGGTGAAAATGTTGTGCCTGGTTCGGAGGCTGACCGCCGCCATGCAAAGATCCACTGCCGAAACCATTGTATAGAGCTTGCAGCGAACCATCTCCTCCCTGTACATATTCGTATTCACTTCAAAATACATTAACACGTCCTAGAAAGCTAAAAGAACCAAGGGAAATCATATATGGTTTACCTGATGATTACTAGGAGACTTGAAGGAAGACGAAGAGGAGCCATCAACGACGTCGTTTTGGTGGCTCTCGGCCCCAAGAGAAAGAGGCATCATCATGATCTGTTGATGGTGCTGCATCATCATCTTAGCAGCCGCAGCGGCGGCCGCGGCAGGAGAGCCACCGCTGATCTGGTGCTGCCGGAGCTTGGATGCGAGGATTGCGGACTCGTCGCTGAAGTGCGCAGCGTGGAAGTCGGAGGGAGCTGGTTCATCTACCCACGGCGATGACTTGAGCGCGGTGGCCGGGTCGGAGCCCCACGAACAGGAAGGCAGCGTCGACAGCATTTGCTCGAGAAAATCATCGTGCGAGGAAGAATCAAACTGCGGATTTTGGATCTGCGAATGCTGCTGTTGCTGTTGTTGTTGCTGTTGTTGTTGTTCTTGGAGAGGGATTTGATGAGACTGGTTTAACAGAGAGTTCATGGCTTGCATTTCTCTGCTACAAGGCTGCATAGTTGATGAATACACCTTCCAGATAACGAACAGAAGATGATCTCTATAACAATTTCAGAAATCGACGACGACGAAGATGAACTTCTACGAGCTTTCAGATGAATAATAATAATAATAACAACAACAACAACCAGTGATCCATGAACTGAACTGGAGAGAAACCACTTGCGTCTGGGGTTTGAGACGTTTATAGACGATGGAGAGAAGAGATGAAAATTAAAAATAAAAATAAAAATAAAAAAATAAAGAAAAATATTTTTTATTTTTATTTTTATTTAATTAAGAAAAGAAGAGGAGGTTTCATCTGGTGTGTTTGTTTTTCTCTGTACGTGTTGATTATAGGTGGAATTAACGGAGTGATCATAGTCATCCTAGCGTTGATTTTGTTGTACTTTGACCACTCACCTTCGAAGGCGCGTAGACTTCTACCTACTGTATTTTTACAATTATAAAAAACTATTTTTTATTTTTTAAATTAAATTAAATTAAATGTTTAAAATGTTATATATATATTTGATAAGATAATTACGGTGTTTAAAATTTGAATTGATTGATAAATTTTTTCAAAAAAAAAAAAAAAAAGGCGTGGAACCACGCTCCCAGTGGGTGCGTGAGCTAACGGTTTGAAAAAACATCTGCTGCTAGTCAGCCTATTCTCACTAAGTGTTCGGTAACAAAGCTTTTTCAAAATCCCCAAACTACCCTCAACTGATACCCCACGCGCTTAATTTCGGTGAATTAACATCATCATAAGGTGATTACCCAGCTGTAACTAGTTAACCGCCACTATGGGCTCATTTTTCATGTGGAGTTTTTCTTTTTTTTTTTTTTTTAAATGTATATAAATAATTTTTAAATTGTATATAAATACAATAATAAATATGTATTTAATATTTAATATTATTTTTTATTTAATTCAATAATAATTATTAAATATTTTAAAAATATTAATATTAATTTATTCGATAGTTCAAAAACTAAATATTTTACGAGAAAAAAAATATATATATATTAAATTAAATATTATAAATCGATTAATTACTCTTAAATTTATAATATATTTATAAAATAATAAATTTCGTATTTTTAATGGCGTTCGAACTCATGAATTTTAAATAAAATATAAAATTTTAATAATTAAATAATTATATTATTAAATTGACGTGATATTACTGAATCAAATATTATAAATCAATCATCGATAAGTTCATAATACATTTATAAAATAATAATTTTTACGTATTTAATAGTGTTTAAATTTGTAATTTTTAAATAAAACGAAAGTTCTTAATCATTGTATAATTATATCGTGAAATTAACATAAAATTGAGGGTATCATATTGGTCAAAATCATACTAAGCATACGATAGATCGCTATACGACTTAGCTTGTTTCCTTATGTTCTTATTTAAATTTATATATATATATATATATATATATTTGTGTGTGTGTGTGTACATGTATGTATGTGAGATGTGCATATGAAATATATTATATGAGAAAGTAGAACAAAAATAAACCAAGAAATATATATATATATATATAATTGTTGCAAGAATGTCATATAACAATTTTATAATGGTGGTGTAGTTTCTCTTGGAAATTCTTCTGCTTATAGTTTGTCCCCATAAATCACGACCAAGACAGCATATATCTATTTTATTACGACAATTCTCAATAATCTTTAATATATTTATATATATATGTATATGTATATGCACATATATATGTATATATACATGTTGAGTATGTATTACG